AAWAAAGAGGAGATTTATGCTTGTGGGMCATTCTCTTTCTTTTWATGCTTTATCCTCTGGATAAAGTAYTGAAATTGAAGTTTCCTGTTCTCAAAGGGGTAAATCCACAGCAGCACCCGGGGAAGGAGGGCAACACACAGACTTTGGGTGTGATGAGTGGAAAGGACCTGCTTGTTTGTCTGAATTTGAATTGAATCCTGAATCTTGTGCATGGGTTGAAAGCCTGGCAATAGTGACACTCCTATTCAACCCCTTCCTTTGCAATGATGGGTCAGGCCCTGCCTGGTTTGTCCTTGATTTGTTTTTTTTCTGTTTTTTTTTTCTTGTTTTTTTTATATGATTTGTGTCATCTACAGACAAGGAGCATGAGGAAAAGTAGCTAAAGCATCGTGCTCAGCACTCATATTGATAGCAAGAAGAATTTTTCAAAAGGAAAGAAARGCTTTCAGGTTGAGGAATTTCATATTTTATTTTTCTTATTTCTGCCCACATGATGGCAGTATATGTTAACCCAAACGAAGAACAGAATTTAAAAAAAAAATAAAATAAATAAATCACATCTTTACAACAATAGAGTTCTGTTGCACTCCCCTAAAACTAAAAAAAAAAACCATGAGAAGTTTCCAAAAGCCATTATGACCAGTTATGAAAGGATAACTCCTTTTATTGTAAAAGCCCTGAAGACTTGAGAAGTGATGAAGAACCACACGGAGCTGATTCTGATTGGGCTGGGGATGGTGCTGGGATAAAAATAAAAATTGGTCAGCACAGCCCTGTTTGCCTTAATCAATAAAGTCATTGAAGCAAAATTGCCACTCCCTGGCATGGGTTTGGCTGGTGCTGGAGGTTGGAGGATGCAGGGACAGCTGAGTGATGAGTGTTTCATCTCTGCTGAAAGCACAGAAAAGTCCGAACAGACAGACCATTGAGACACCAGCCACAAAAGAAAAGTTAGGCATTCCTTCAGAAGGGTTATAACAGGAACAAAATCCATTGAATTTGTCAAGCTCTTCATCTAATTGGGAGCTGAGTCAAGAGAGTTTGAGTGTGTGTGTATGGGGGTTGTTCTGGGTGTGTTTACATGGTGGAAGCAGAGAATTTTGTCAGGAGTCATAGGTAAAGCTTAAAATGCTTAAAAAAAGATAAAAAAAACCCCAAACCTCTAGATACAACCCAACCCAAAACACTTATTTTTCTGAGCTTTGACATATCTGTAAGCATGTGCTATTTTTCTTCCATTTTCTGTGCATTGCAATTTAAAAGTCGAGCAAACTTAATTTTAAAGCTCAAACTTTCTTTTCATGTCAGCTTCAGATAAAAAAAAAATGACAATATCTCAATTGTGTGTTTTCAACAGCAAAAAAACTACACACATACTGAGGTGAGTCCAAATGGAGGAATAAGAGGCATCTCTGAAGCCCTCCAGGTTCCTTAGGATCAGATTACAGAACATGTGAGCACAAGCAACATTTTTTTTTTCCTTTTTTTTTTCTTTTTTTTTTTTTTAAACTCAGAGTTCAGCCTTAACAGATGTGACTTTCCTTCTCTTTTCCCCTGATGTTGTATAAATGAGGAATTGCAGCAGTCCTGTTTCACTTGTGCAGTTTTGTTTCATGGAAAACTTGGGCTTCACGATRTCTGGAGATTTGAATGTGTGCACATGCAGATTGAAGCTAAAAAGGTGGGAGCTGGAGCAGCTAAAATACCAGAGTGAGTAACCTTTTGCTCTGTTTGTTTAGCTGAAATTTATGTTTCTCAGACTCTGTAGAATGTTGTAGGACTCCAGTCCTTTCTTGTTTGACTGTCTTGGCTAATGAATCTTCTCACAGTGCATCTCTTTCACTTGCTAGTATATAAAATATACATATATTCTATATATAACATATATTATATATATCTAGAATATACTATCAGTAATGCAAGTCCTTGCTCTCATTATTTATGCTTTATAGGTATTTTTTTATACCTAAAATACCTACTCCAGTTATACCTAAAATAAACCCCTACTCTGGTAGCTCATTCCTGTTCTCCACATCACTGATATTACTGATGGGAGAAATCCTCACTTTTTTTAGTGTCTAGGGACTTTTCTGTCCACTTAATTCATTTAAATTCTATCAAATTTTCATTTTGTTTTACTCTTACATTTGTAATATTCTCCTTTTGGAACATCTCACTTTCTTCTCAGTAAGTAACCTACAAAAAATGCTTCTAGAAATTATCTATCAAGACTTCATAA